CTCGGTAGAGTAGTGACGAGGTCAGGTCAGGGCCCCACTGGGACTAATAAGAAACAAAGCAGAAGATATAATGACATAATAAAGTGACAGGGAAGTGTAACAATAGAAATTTACGGAAGGTAGCAACACGGAATCAAAAAGACAAATACAACACGTAAGGAAGCAAGAATCTTACAGGTTAAGGAACAACAACAAACAATACAACAAGTAGAGGAAATCAACAGGGGCACTCCCGAAGTACCGCCTCGTAGTCCCAAAAGTAAATATCTCACAATATCTCCTTATAATAACAATTGCACGGTAGAACCCTTGTTCCATAACAACAATCCGCACGGCCGAAACTTCGTGCCACAATAACAATCTGCACGGCAAAAACCTCGTGCCACAATAACAATGTGCACAGCAGAAACCTCATGCCACAGTAACAATCTGCACGGCAGAAACCTTGTGCCACAATAACAATTTGCAAGGCAGAAACCTTATGCCACAATAACAATACGCACGGCATAAACCTCATGCCATAACCAAACAAATCACCTCAACAATAATCACGAAAACCAAAACATAACAAATGAAACAATGATATTTCAGGTAAAGAAGTCCACAGTTAAATAATGAATACGGAATCAAGGAAGCAGGTGATTCAACTAAGCATGTTGTACAAATTATAAATAAGAGATAAGACACGTAGACGTATGAAATTAGGCTAAACATGATGACTACACATGCTAGAGTAACTCAATTAAGGAAATAAAAGGAAACTACTTAGCAAAAAGCCGAATTTTTAACATATAGCCCGAGTACGCGCTCGTCACCTCACGTACACGGCCTTCACATATTGCAAATTACCATAGCAGTACCAAATCCTAAGAAGAATTTCCCCTACATAAGGTTAGACAAGTCACTTACCTCAAACCTCGCTCAATCAATCAATAAGAAGGACTTTCCCTCGCTTTTCCGGCTCCGAACGGCTCAAATCTAGCCACAAGCAATTACATACTATAAATATAACTATAGGAAACTAATCTAAATAATGAAATTATAATTTTAGCAAAGAATTGAAAATTCGCAATAAAACGTCGACCCGAGCCCACGTCTCAGAACACGACCAAAATTATAAAATTCGAACACTTATTAAATATCGAGTCCAACCATACGAGAATTATCCAAATCCGACCTCATTTGGCCTTTCAAAACTCAAGAATTTGGTCTAAGAACTTTACACCTTTCCCCCCAAATGTTTCAACCCAAATCTTTAATTAAATAAAGAAATCGAAGATAGATTAGTGGAAATTAACCAAAAACGAGTTAGGAACACTTACCCCAACAATCCCTCTGAAAATCCCTCAAATTATCGCCTTAAACCGAACTCTCAAGTCCAAATAGTAAAAAATGACATAAACCCTCGATTTTGGAATTTTATATCTGCTGCCGAGTTAAATCCTTCTTCGCGAATGCAGAAATTGTCTCGCGTTCGCGAAGCACAAAATGCTTCAGGCCCAATTTTCCTCTTACGCGAACACGAGTGTCCACTCGCGAACATGATGAACCAGGTTTCTCAAGCTTCGCAATCGCGAAGCCCTTCTCGCGTACGCGTAGACCACACGTAAGGTCCACCCAAGCTGCCTTCCTCATCTCAAACGCGTAACCCAGTTCGCTATCGCATAACACCAAGGTTCTGCCCCTTCACGAACGCAAAGGGCAATCTTACAGCAAAACTCAGACTCCTCTACGCAAACGCGGGAAATCATCACGAATGCGTAGAAGGACACCAGAACTGGGAAAAACCAGCAATTTCAGAATTTCTTCCAAGTTCCGAAATGCGCCGAACATGGTCTGAATCACACCCGAGGCCCCCGAGACCTCAATCAATTATACCAATAAGTCTTAAAATATCATACGAACTTAGTCGAGTCTTCAAATCACATCAAACAACACTAAAACTACGAATTGCGCATCGATTCGAGCCTAATGAACTTTTGAACTTCTAACTTTCACATCTGATGCCGAAACCTATTAAATCTCGTCCGATTGACCTCAAATTTTGCACACAAGTCATAATTGACATTACGGACCTACTCTAATTTTTGGAATCGGATTCCGACCCCGATATTAAAAAAGTCCGCTCCCGTTCAAACTTTCTAAAATTCCACCAATTTTCAACTTTCGCCAATTAACGCCAAAATGACCTACGGACCTCTAAATCAACATCCGGACACGCCCCTAAAACTAAAATCACCATACGGAGCTATTGGAATCATCAAAACTCTATTTCAGAGTCTTCTTCACAGAAGTCAAACTACTGTCAACTCCTACGACTTAAACTTCCATTTTTAGGGACTATGTGTTCCATTACACTCTGAAACTCACCCGAACCCGACACCAAGCGCCCCACCTAGTCATATAATCACAAAATAAAGTAGAGGGAGCAATAAATAGGGGATCGGGGCTAATACTCTCAAAACTACCGGCCGGGTCGTTATATTTTCTATTGTGGATAATAAAAGGAATACTGTCTTGGTCAAGGTTTAGATAATCATATTTTAAGGTGTTATTATTCCACTCATTCTTAAAATTGCAATAGTGTTTTGGGAAAAAAAATGATTTTTTTTCTTTTGCATTTTTAACATTGTTATAGATTGTAAAACATTATTTATTAACTGATGTAAGCCAAAAGCATTGTTTATGGTTTAAATTATTTTAACTTCTACGTACTTTCGGATTGTTAAAACCAAGGGAACGGAGAAAGGGAAAGGGGAAGGGAAAGAGAGAGGGAAAGGTAAATATCCAAGAAAAAACACAATCGAATATGAAAAGTCTCATACTTCAAGAAAATTAACGAGTCTTTTGAAGAAAGATTATTTTTTCAAAATGTGATTCTTTTCTCTTGGGATTTTTAGGGTAGAACTTTTTTTATTGGATTTAATCTTAGAATCTGAGCTTTTTTTTCTTTCTAAAATTTTATTAGGTGTGAGCACAATGAAAAGTAAGAACTTGTTTTTGAATAAAGTCAGCTAATGTGTACCTATTCTGTTAAATTGCAGCCAAGAATTATGAAAGCGAAAGAATGTGAATTGGTTTCATGTAATCATCTCTAGCTTGTAATATAAAGTTATAGGACTGAATTAGAGCCAGATTATTACTCACACTAAGGCACCTCTACTCTCCAATCAATCATGCTCTTTACATATCAATGTACATTGAATGATCCGTGCAACTTGATTTCTATTATTGATTGCAACTCTAAATACTTTTTGATTTTGTTTGATTGGTAAGTCTCTGTGACATTTGTTAGTGTTCTTCCATTACGTGATTTCATTATTTTCTATCTTTATAGTTATCAAATTTTTATTTTCTATCTTTATATCCTCAATTTATTCTCAATCTTTTTTTAATTAAATATAGATTCAGTTTTGTCCGTCAGCATTTTTTTATTTGTTAGATATAATATTCCATATGCATTTTAAAGTTTAGGATCATTTTTGACTATTGTTTGACACGGTTTTGTTGCCACTTAATGTTACTATAGATGCCTTTGCTGCTATTTTGCGATGTAGTTGAAGTCACTTTTTGCTACTATTTTTGGATGCGGTAAAAGTTATTTTGCTGCTGTTTTGGGATGCGGCATTTTGCTGCTATTTTTGGATGTGGTTAAAGCCAGTTTTGTTGCTGCTTTCTGCATGGGGTTAAAGTCAATCTTTTGCTAGTGTGATGTTAGGTTAGTTTACTTATTTCCTATCTATCTATGATACTACCCATCTCTCATATTACTAATTAACTCATTCTCCATGGTTTATTAACACGTCAATACAGAATGATTTAAAGTTATCATTTTAATAAATAGATAAAGTTGTATTTGTCTCTTTGAAAGTTGTCTTGCTACTAACACACTGTCTGTTATTTTTTGATTTTTTGGTATTGCCAACACTATTATCCTTTTTGACCTTTGTTGATTAAAGTTCTCTGCTCAGTAAATGAACTTTCTTTGTTAAACATGCACAATTACAACCATCTGTAAAGATAGACAATGTTTGAAAAGGTATGCCATTCATAGCTAAAATGTGCAAGAATTTGTTATACTTCCATTTATTCGAATGGTTTTTTCTTCGTTTTATGCAATAGACATTGCTAAATAAGTTTTAAAGATGAGAGGGAAGCTTAAAAATACATACTGCCATTATGCTATGTTTATATACCTAAGATTATTACTACTACCAATTTTAGTAAATGTAACTCTTCTAACATTTTCTTCGGTAATGGTTTGGATTGATAATGCAACTGAAAGCGGAAAAGTATTTCTCTAACAAGAGAAGGTCCACTTATATTAATTTTGTAGGAAGGCATCATTTCCACACTGAAAAATTGCTTTAGAAAGAATCAGTTGCAGTGATATTATCCTAACGTACACTTAATGCATTATGTTATATAGTTACTGAAACTTCGTCTTGTTCTGTGATTCTGTAGATGTCAATACTTTTATTGCACTATAAAGAAGAAGAAGAACAATTATAGTATGGAGAAAGAATAATCTTTTGTGAATATAAATACTCTAATTGATGTAAATAATTGTGTAACTTTCGAAGTAAATGCATCTCTTTTTATCGATATGTAAATATATATATATATATATATATATATATAGTATTCTCATGTATGTGAATATTATGCCACTTTCCAATGATGCCTCAATTTATGTTTCTTCTCTGCAATTTCATATCAAAATAAAATTAATCACAAATAGTGATTCCATACTCTACAGTATTGGGCCCGTGTTATGCTTGGGCAGAAACCATCTAGTATATATCATCATATCATACTATATTTAAAAGTGGGAACCTCCACAAGGGTAAAGTTGAATTAGGGTATCAAAGAGTTGTAACATAGGACGATAATGAAGAGTCGCAATAGATGCGGGTAACTAACGGTCGGTCCCCTTTGTTAATTAAGAGTTCCTTGGCTTATCTATATCGTGTCTCTTTCTATTACCAGAATGTGTTTCTAACCTATTTTGTCCTTTGGATTTCACCTACTGCCCTCTTTATTCTCATGGCCTCCTGATCTCGGGAAACAACAATAGAAATAAGCACAGTTGGATAAGCTTATTTTGATATTAGTTTTTATATCCTTGACCTTGTGATGCTGCAATTTATGGGGACAGATATAGATAGCATTATTGGACATCTTAGGTATGCAATATATACATGAATGTCAATTGTTTTTTCTTTACATTAATGTTAGACATGATTTTCTCAGTTACTTCTTCAAGAGTCTGATGCAGGTTTATGAAGTTTGCACACCCAGAAGAGGGGATTATGTTTTTATCTTTGTTGCCTTAAGAGCCGTTGGATAGAGATGCAAATTAATTACCAGATAACTTGCTAACTTATACGGATGCTACGTCGTAGAAAGAGCGGTTGGATAGAGATGTTTTTATTATTGTTCATCTTATGGGTCTATATATATATCAACCGAATCATTTGGTTCAACATTCTTATGTTTTAATTTCTTTTACATTCTCTTGCAGGTTTGTGTAAACTTAAAGGCCAGATGGTTAGTGCAATGAAACCTGGTTTTACAATTTTTTTCTCCTTAGCTCTGTATCAACTTATATCATTTGGTTCGAGATTTTCATGATTTTCTTGCATTTTGGGGAAATAATTACTCGAAAGTACAAATTGTTAGTGTGATCGGGAGTGGTTGACTGGTTCAAGCTCTGATTTCACCAATTACGTTGTAATGACAGAGGTAATTTGCTGCTATTATTTTATTTTTAAATTAACTGTTGCATGTGTTCGATTGATGGCCCTTCCAAGCTTCCGGTAACTTGCATTTTCACTTAAGATTATGCTTAACTACTACTAATATAGTTCATTATTTTAACTCTTAAACGACCAGGTAAAATATTTTAAATTAATGGCTGATATTTTGAATGTCTTCGATTTCATCTTCAGCCTATACATTTCCCTTTTGAAAGGCTAGTGACTGGACACTAATTGAAGTTATTGTATGTAATTTTTAACGCTTTTAAAATGAGTTTGATCCATGTGACCTATATATTAAGCTTTCTGTCTTGGAAAATTTGTATCATGCATCTAGATGATAGCGTTAACTTTTTGCATTCAGTTTAAATTATCTAAGCATTACGAAATACTATTGCCTTGTGTGGGATTCTAACATCTACGTACATTCCCAACATGTACATGCATTTTCTCCTTTTCCATTTAGAAGAAAACTGTATCAGCCATCCAAGAACCATGTGAGCACCTCACATTCATCCCCGGCCTTGTGTTCATTTTTCTCTCTATTTCTTTTTTTTTTTTAACTTATTGCTTTCTTCATTATCAACAAAATTCATATGAGTATATTTTTGTTGGTCTCTGTTGAATTTTTACGTTAAGAATGTATTTCAATAAGTGTGTTTTTTTCCAATTATCCTTTTCTTTTGTGTTGTCGAACATGTATAAGGACTAACACCTCCAATTTTGTCAACATTGTTGAGCCAACATACACACAAAAGATTAATAAGGCACGAGTGGAATGAACAAATAAGATGCTGTACGTACCAACATAAATAAAAATTATATAGCACATGATGGATCATCTCCACTGCTTATGTTTTGAGGACTTCTGTTGGGTGTGGTTTCATCCTTTATCGTGTTCATTAAATGAGATTAACATTCATATATAAATTCCGGAATTGTGCATTTCTCCTTGAGGGTTACACGCGCAACGTGCGTGTCCAGAAACTAGTTTTTTTTATATATATATATATATATAACACATTCTAGTCGTTTGGTCATACGTGCATACATATTACATTTCTAGTTGAATGTTTGGTTGATAGGTGATTAATACACTAAATTATAATTTCTAGTTGAATGTTTGGTTGATAGGTGATTAATACACTAAATTATTCATAAGACCGTAAGATTTTTACCATAAACAGCCTTAACACTGCCTCTAATCAAAGTATCAAAAGTGTGGGGGCTTCCTCTCTAGACTTTGTTGCAGAAGGAAAGGAAAGAACCAACTGGCAATCAAGGATCATAACAATTGATCTGACCAGTGCTGAAATCAAAAATCTTAATAAAGATATTACATATGCAGTATAATTTTCCGCCGAAAAGATGTTTTAACTGATCTGTCGCCTACTATGGTGATGACGTGAAGACTTTGAGCAAGGCAGTTTTTATAAGCGAAAAGTATTTCTGATGTAAAGGCGTCGAGGTAATTGACATACAGTCCAGGAAAAAATGTATAGAGTCACTTTCTAATAATTGAGGAGAAAGGGTAACTAGCTTGCCATTTTCTGCCCACACTACGTCCCTACTTGCTAACACTTACAAATAAGGGAAAAATTCATGTTACTTTTTATTCTAAAATCAAAAGCTGAGGATTGCAGATGATAGTACTTCCACTACCCTTTAAAGCAACTGGACAAACTTTCACCAACAACACTTCAAGTTTACTTATTTTGTTATGTCTCGACTTTTGCACCATGATCTTTCCTGTAGTTTAATGTATAAGAGTTACAGCTGTTTCATACCGTAAAACACTCTCATTAGTTATTTTTCCCTGCATTCAAATCCACCAAATTAAAGAAAAACCTTTAATCCTCATGTGATTCACTCATTGGTCTGATTTAATGGAGTAGGGCGAAAGCAGCTCATTAAAAGTACATTTAGGCTGATTTTGTTAGCTGCAGCAATCAAGTAAATGAATAATTATCAACATCACAAAGTTACAAGGTTAAATCCTGCCAAAGAACACAAGTTTTGACAAGATGGCTAAAGTGCATAGTTATTGTATGATTTTCTATCAACAAAGAGCTACAATGACAACCTAGTATGCTTCAGAAATGAAAAGAGACCAAAATTTGCCAGTCTGTTCTTGCTAATTTCAAGAACCAACTTTGAGCAAGGAAGCCTCCTTTAGAAGGTTTAATAACAGAATGTGAAGCCATTAAAAGATAGAAATTATTTGAAAATGAAAACCATAAAAATACATTCTCATCATAACAGTCCCAACTGTCAAGGCACCGGTATTACGCAGTATAGAAGAAAATGCCCAATAAGCAGCTTGCAATCACATAGTTCTTGTTATAAGATTCATAGCCTTGTTTAGAAACTCAGTGCCTCATCTCCTAACTAACAAAACTAAACCCAATTAGTTGTAATCGAATCTGTTGCCCTACTGGTATCATCTTGAGCGAAGGAAGAAAGATATCTGGGTGGTTGTTTTGCATTTACTGGCCAGCTAATTTCAGCTACTACAATAATGATGTGAAAGATTCATGTTGGTCAGGGATGGTGAGTGGTGGTAAGATAAAGCTTCACTTCCAAAGTGCAGTTGATAGTGATTGCTGAATTTCCGAATCCTGATGATGCTGCGGTAGAGAAGAATCACACTGTAGGTCTCCCACCATAAGTATTTTGGCCTTGCTGCGTCCATTTTAAAGAGGTGTCAACTTCCAAGCCCTTCTCTATTGATGTTCCCTGGAGGAAACATCATAGGATGTTTATAAGGTAAATTGCACGGATTAAATTCAAAACAAGGCATTTACATTGAACTACTATATACTAATTTGACATTTACCATGCAGGAAAACAGAGAATCTTTTCTGTCTCGGACTATAAACTACATATATACTAGAGGAAATCTTAGACTGAGACTATAAGTTCCCTACCCAGTGAGGTAACTGCTATGATGATTCCAAAATTGCATTAAATATAAATAAGCAACATGTAGATGAACCTAGGTAATGAAGGCTACAACAATTGGTGCACCGTTCTTGTGAGCAGAAGAACTGAAAAGAATCCAAGCAATGTTGACAAGAATACCTTAAATGTGGGAAAGAGATTCCCATTCAATCCATTCCAATGGAGGGGGTGCTGAGTTAGCACATGCTGACCCTGAAGCAGCAGTTCACTTCTCAGTGTAGTAGAAGCAGAGTTCTGCAGGATAGGCACGACCAAGTAGACTGCTTAGACATAGAAGTTGAGTACAAATCTACCTTTGGTACAGATCATGGAAGACCATGAATTAAGATAGAAATCATTAAGTCTCAAATTACCAGGACTTTTCTATGATGTTCAGTTAAACCATTTGAGCCATGCTGGCCCTGGAAGTTTCCAGTTTGGCTAGTGTTTCCATGTTGATTGTCATCATAGGAAGAGGGAGATATGCCCAAATTCAGATCAAGATTATGACCTGTGCCTGCATCAAATGTAGATCGGTAGCTTCCAACCAGCTAAGCAGAGCTAACGAATAAAAGCGACAAGCATAAAGGTGGTGTTGGGAAAAGTGTGCAAGTCTTGATAGTACCTCTGATATCAGCCTCAGAACTTAATACACCTTCATATGTGCTTATCTCAAAATTGGTGACTGCCTCCCTCCCGCTGCTTTGTATAGCGGCCTTATCATATGCCCTGATCAAGCTCCAAAGACAAGTTCAGTCAATGTTGAGAGGTTAAACCACATAGCATAAAAGAGAATGAAGAGTCAGGTTATGTCATTGGACCTTGCAGCTTCTATCTCACTGTCAAATAGTCCAAGATAGATATACCTGCAAGCGTATAATGCACGGGACTGGTTAACAATATTCCCTCTAGCTTATAAAGATCAGTGCTATCATGTGATTGGAGAAACTTGAAACAGTCATATTAATAGTAGTGTGACATTTCTAAGCCACATTGGAACATCACTCACTTCTTTCCAAGAAGCTGCCCCATCCGTGCTTCCCATCGCCCACATTTATGCAGAGTGACTCCCCTGTATTTTGAACTTCCTCTAGAGAAGCCATTGCTCTGACGACGAAGTATGTGCACAAACTCTTCATTGCTAAAGTTATTCATCTGTATGCCAGTCACAGAAATTACGTTAAACAGCAACCATATTCCTAATTGAAATGGGACTTCAACCAGAAGTAATGACGGTGATTAGCTACTTCAAGCAACCTGCTTCAGATCATCTTCATAATCACTGATGTTAAAGTTGATATCTGCATCAAGTCCTCGGAATTTAATTGCAGCACGGTCATATGCCCTGAAATTAGTATACAAAAATTTACTACTACAACTATCCCAGTTTTTCTTTCGGAGAAGTACAAAAATCAACCAGTGCAGTTAAGATAAAACTCATTCTAAATTATACAGCACCTAGCAGCAGTATGTGCAGTGTCAAAACCCCCTGTAAATACAAAATTCAAATGCCAAATGAAGCTTGCAGTCAGCAATCAATACTTGAATAAAGCTGTAATAACTTTCATATCAACAAAACTTGAGGTTAGGAAACAGTTGCTTACCCAAGTAAACTTGTTTCCCACCATCCCTGCAAAGTCCACACAAAAAGTGCTCAGGATTACAATAAAACATTTATGAGTTCCTATCCAAACTTAAAAGTGAAAGCATCTCATTAGTACTAGCTGCTAGTTAGTTAGAACTAATAATCCCAAGAAATAACTGGTAGTTTAAACAGTTCAATAATATCTCCAAGCAACCTCGCTTACATGTTAGCATTAGTTCACTATGTTGGAGGACGGTGGAGGAACACTAACTCTATCCAGTCTTAAGCATTGATAAGCAGGGTTACGGCTAGTTGAAAGCTAGCATACTTAAGGAATACTAGTTTTATCAGATCCTAAGCACAGATAAGTGAGAGGAGGTTTGCAGTAGGTTGACGACCAGTATAAAAAAGATTTAATTGTATACAATGATCAATGTAATTAATACTTTACACCACCAGTATAATTTGACATGTTATAACAGGCTACTTACCATTTATTCTAGGTTACCAATCAATCTATTAAGTAGAATTACCAGTAATTACCTTTTAAATGACCAGATTGTGTGCATATATATATTTATGCAGAATTCAAAAAAACATCCTAATAAATACTATGGATGAAACTGAAACAAAGAGTCACTTGCTACAGAGCTGAGAGAAAAATAACAGTAGAATATTGCTAGAGATGATCAATTACCAAATGTGGGATTCCCATCGTCCAGTCCTACGATAGAATGTGACTCCGCGATATTGAGAACTGCGAGACCTGGGCCCTCTTCTATTCTTCTTCACCTGTGATCTTCGCTGCGGAGATATAACGATCCTCTGCTCATTCGAAGCTCCGCAATTGGCTGAGAGATCCAAGCACTGCTGCTGCGACAACTCGGCCTCTCCACTCACCAATGGAAACAGCTCCTTTAACACAAAATCACTATTCCCACTCTCTTCATATTCATCGTCACCGGCTGTACTGTTGGAGGTTTCCATGTTAACAATGGAGGAATTGGAGGTTCCTGATTCTACTGGAACATCTTCAGAACTGAGATTAAGATCAAACATATCTCAAATTCCCACTAAACTACGCCCAAATGAGCACCACAAAAAAAGGGAGAAATAAATGGCAGCTGGATTTAGAGGTAGGAAGGAAAAAGGAAGAGAAAGGAATGTAGTCATACACACACTACAAAAAACGCACTCCTTGTATATATATATATATATATATATATATATATATATATAGAGAGAGAGAGAGAGAGAGTCGGATCCAGAATATGGGTTCAATTTTAAGATTTTAAAACACATTATATTTTTAAAGTTATGGGTTCATTTTTACTATTTTTATAATTTTAATGAAATTTTCACATATAAATTTTTACTCTGCGTCGAAAGTTATTGGTTCACTTGAACCCGTAGCCACTAAGCTACATCCGCCTATATATATATATATATATATATATATATATATATATATATATATATATATCGATAGAGAGAGTGGCAGTGGGGAAAACGTATTCTGCGTTTGGCATAATTATACTATACGGAAGAAGCAACAAGGACTTTTGTCTGTCTATAAGGAAAATGCAAAAACAAATTGGGTGTCTTAGGAAGTATTATTACGTTTCTAAAAGAATAAACCTATTAATAAAAGAATTTGACCATGTTTTTTGCTAATAATTTTTAAATATTTTAAATTATTAATTATTACATGATTTATTATAGTAATAATTTCTAAACATATAAATTTTATTTCAAAAACTTAAAGAATTCATGTAGCAAAAATAAGTCAATTTAACTTAAGTTCCACGTAACAATGTGACTTCCGAAAGTAGAGAGCCTTACTGGAAATACTTTTTACTCTCAACACGACTTTCAACCGTAGAGCGTGATCGACACTCGCAGATTTTATTTTCCTGAAAAATGAAATCCTATGCTCAGTCTTAATTACTTTGCTAATATAATAACTCCAGGCTAGTTGCAGTCAATTTTCTAAAGTTATTCATATGATACTAAACTATCATCCAATTCAATCTGATATAAGGGCAAATTAATCAACTTTGAAACAATGTATGATGAACAAGGCGGAGGTATGATTTGAAGCTTATGGGTTCAGAATTTTAGTTCTTTTTAATTATTGAATTTATACATATTAAATAAATTTCTTAAAATAAATATATAATGTGGACCAAAGTTACTGTCGCACCTTTATCTCTAGCTCGGCCCTGGAGCCGAGTCAAACACCCTCACATTAATTAGAATGGAGGAAGTAGCATTAAATTTGTTATCGATAATGCTAAAAGACGTTGTCAAGTGACGATTCTTTTTTGTTTCTCATCCAATACTGATATTTATATTGAGGTCCTATAAATTTGAATTTGTGTCATGATTGACTCATTAAAGAGGAAAATGTTTTTTAACCAAAAAAAATTCAATAATTAGGATTTAAACCCGAAACTATAATTAAGAGTGAATGAATTTTATTTATCACACCACAATCTTGGGTGGTAAAGTGATTAGACAAGGGGAAAAAACACATTTATGCCCTTGGGATAGAGGTGATTAATTGCCTTCCACCCCCACTAGATTGTTTGATTTGGTTTCGTTTTTTCTTTTTTCTAGGAAAATATTGAGAAGTTTTCGGAAATACTTTTTGAACTAAAAAAAAAGATGTATATTTGGTTAACTCCCCGAACAAATCTCCCAATTCTTTTTTTAGCTTAAAGAAAATAATTGTGGTGTATTACAGAAGAGCAAATAGTTTTTGACAACCTATGATTTTCCATCTTTTTATGTTAGAAATGTTTTTGTAGAAGTCAATTCGCAAAATTCAAGTCACAACATATAGTTGCGTTACTTTTAGGAAAGCGGACAGCAATATATTTATTTAAGTTAAGCCATAACCAAGCCAAACCTCCAATAAGAAAAGGAAAGACAAAAATTATTTAAATAATGTACAAAAAGCACTGAGGGGGTTCAAAGGAACGTGGTATTAAATTATGATAATTGGCCTAGGAATATCCCGTCCACTTTGCAAAAAGCATGTTTTAAATTAAAAGGTTAGTTCAAATTATTTATTATATTACACTTCTTTTGAAACATTAAATTCTAAGCGACTGTTAAAAAAAGGGACTAAGCGTATGTTACAAAAAAGAACCAACCTTAAAAGGGTATCATGCCAGGATCGACGAAACTAGCTAGTCTAGTATATATTTTTTTATTTTTCATTCCGACGTTCGGTATTTGTATTATAGATTCGACTGATTCAGATTCGTGTCACGTAAGACCTATTAAAGCGGGAAGAACTTTCTACTATACTCTTTTTCATTATCAGGCTCGAACTCGAGACCTCTATTTAAGAGTGAAGAAATCGTATCCATCTCCACATGATATCTAACTGTATAGGGTAAAATATGTTATGACACGTGACCGTCCAAAAAAGGGACACGTTGAACTCAAGACGAGGGATGGCCAAAGACCGAAAGCAATTGTTCCGTTTGTCGTCGGAAAGAACAACGCTCGTAAAGATGTGATAAATGTTCTTCGCCCGGTAGCATTTAAGAGAGAATATTTCATGGCATTAAGAGCAATTACCTGTTACAGGGAATTTGACATTTATGTTCACCGTTACATCTGCATCAATGTCTCTCATAATTGACATTAAAGAAGGGCACAATCGTAGGACCTTCTTCATAGCTATAAATAGTGAGTTCAATTATCATTGTAAGGGGGAGGAATTTTCTGGAAAACTGACACTACATTCTATACAAAGCTCAATACAATCTTATTTTCTGATTCTTTTGATTTCAACGTTGTTGCGCCCCGAAATTTTGTTCCCGGAACTGTTATTTCTGTTGTTTCGTCTATATCCTAAGGCTAAGTATTGTATAATTCATAGATTATTTTATTATTTCAGGATCAAATTAATTCACTTGTCTAGAAACCACGTATAAATTCAATTGTACCATTTTACGGGTAAATAGTTTGGCGCCCACTGTGGGGCCTAGACAGCCGTATAATTAAATTGATCATTGCCTTTTACACTATCGTGTTTTGATTAGTTTGTCTTAGAAAAAATCATAAGAAATGACAGATAACACTGTTAATGACATGCATAACCCCCGAGATTCGAGGGGATCAGCCTCATTTCGAGGACTCAATCAGTGATACCCATAATGAGGAGAATGATGCTACACCGGTGTATGACAAGCAATATCCTCGATAAGTTCGGGAGACAACTCCTAATGATGCTGATGAGGAACATGTTGTCGACGCGGTAAGGTTCTTGCAAGAGAAACATGCGATCATTCTAGGTCATCTCATGCGATAGGATAAGGTTATGACGGAATTGAAGAGGTGTTGTCGAGAGCTTCAACTAATGCATACAGACGTGATCCGATTTTTTCCAGGGTACCCACGAATCAAACGACGCAGAGGGTTGACAACAACACTCTCATGGGTGAAATTGGCTCCGATAGGGTAGGGGGAAACGAATCTGGCCTTAACAACGAGAATGATCCTTTCAAGAATGAACTTTTACGGTTAATGAGGGAAGTAAATGCCCGCATGGACCAGATCCCCGGCGCGCTACTAGTGCTGAAAGGTCCGAACTCAAAAAAGTATACTCAATTACCGTACAAGCAAAGTGCGGCACCAGAGTTAATCCCGAAGCTATTCAAAATGCATGAAATGCCAAAGTATGACGGAACTTCGGACCCTCAGGAGCATATTACCACCTACACAACGGCGATAAAGAGAAATAATTTAGCTCCTCGTGAAATTGAATTTGTGCTGCTGAAGAAATTAGGAGAAACCCTCATGAGGGGGGACTTGACGTGGTATTCGCTGTTACCCGAGCATTACATAGACTCCTTTGAAATGCTCATGGATTCTTTCATCAAGTCTCATGCCGGGGCTAGAAAAGTACAGGCCCGAAAGGCTGACATATTCAGGATTGCGCAAGGAGATTTCGAGTTTCTACGAGAGTTCGTTACCCGATTTCAGAAGGAGAGAATGTTGCTCCCGTACTTGATGGGTGCTAAAGTTATTGTCCACACGGATCATGCGCCACTTCGCTATCTTATGAGAAAAAAATATTCCAAAGCTCGGTTGATGAGATGGGTACTTTTTTTTTGTAAGAGTTTGATATTGACATCCAAGATCGAAGAGGGAGTGAAAATCAAGTGGCGGACCACTTGTCTCGTTTGGAGGAGGAAGGGAGGCCGCATAATGGCCTTGAAATCAACGACTCCTTCCCTGATTAAAAACTCTTGGCGATTTTAATAAAGGAGGTGTCGAGGTTCGCGGATCTAGCAAATTTCCTTGTGTGTGGAATTGTCCCGGATGAGTTCTCTTCAAACTAAAGGAAGAAGCTCAAATAGGATTGTCAAGATTATTATTGGGATGAGCCATACCATTTCCGAATTTGTACGGATGGGGTAATTAGAATATGTGTACCGGAAGAAGAGCAAAGTGATATTCTTGGGTCTTGTCATTCTTCTCCATATAGTGGTCATCATGGTGGAGCAAGAACGGCGGCCAAAGTGCTAAGTTGTGATTTCTATTGGCCCACTCTTTACAAGGATGCAAGTGACGTGGTGAAAAGATGTGATGAATGTCAACGGGCCGGTGGAATCGCGAAGAAAAATGAAATGCCTCACACTACTATTTTGGAGATTGATATCTTTGATGTATGGGGTGTTGACTTCATAGGTCCTTTTGTGAGTTCTTATGAAAACACCCACATCTTGGTCGTGATTGATTATGTTTCTAAATGGGTTGAGGCCGTTGCTCTACCCAACAATGAGGCGAGAAGTGTGGTGGTGTTCTTGAAGAAAACTATTTTCACAAGGTTTGGTACTCTGAAGGCTATCATAAGCGATGGGGGTCGCATTTTTGCAACAAGGCTTTCGACACCTTACTTAGCAAGTATGGCGTTACTCATAAAGTCATGACTCCTTATCATACGCAAGCTAGCGGTCAAGTGGAAGTCTCCAACAGGGAGATAAAGAGTATTTTATCCAAAACAGTGAATGTTAACCAGACGGATTGGTCAAAGAAGCTTGATGATGCATTATGGGCTTACCGGACGGCCTACGAAACACCTATCATAATGTCTACATACCGGTTGGTGTTCGGAAAAACTTGTCATCTTCCGGTGGAACTTGAGCATAGAGTTATGTGGGC